CTTACAGCACCAGCCCCCCTCCCCTTCTTCGGGTGACAGCTCGGGACGCCGCTCCCCTGGTCTCCTGGCCACCTCAGGCAGCAAAAAATGTAGGGACGGCCCTGATAATGTTTGTCAGTGTAAGGGATGGATTTACTAACCTTATAAACACGCCACAAACAAGTATACACCTCTGTAGTGTGTTCCCTCCCAGCATGATCTATTGGTGGAATCTAGACACCTTTGTAGTGTGTACACACCCAGCAGGTGTGTTGTGCAAAGCCCTCCATGAATTGCAAGGTGATGTTGTGTAAATTAGCTCTATGTTGTGTTGCTTGTGTTGATGAATGCAGGAATGTAAATGCATGAGCTAATGAGATTTTTGTCTAAACTGTGAAGCAGCATTATATATGCATCATGTGCATGATTTTTCCATATATGGCATTAGTGGAAATATGCTTTTAGAGACTTTTTGGTTGATAAATACGTTTTGCTGTGTGAAAATCACACGTTCCTGGTGCGTGCGTGTGTTTAGGTTAGTAAATCACCCCCTAAGTGTCTTTGAATAGTCCAGGGGCTACATTGATTTACAGTCCCAGCATAAACTATCCTGTTATAACATCAGCATTGTAATAGGAATAATACTACAGTTGTATTTGATAATGCAAACAAAGCTTTCTAGAAAAAATCCCTTTTATGTAGTGAGTGCTGCCTTCCATCTGCCCATCACTTCCAACAACTTCCTGGATTCCGAGTCTGCTTTGTATCTCTTTCTCAGCTGCTTGATGTGATGTAACCTTCATTTCTCAAGACATATCCCATAATGCATTGCTTGCAGCAAGCAATGATAGTGTTACATTTATCAGACAGTGAGTTGTAGTTCAGACAGCGAGCTCTGTGAGAATTGTGACACAAGGACGTGAAATTGTCTCACTACATTGAGGAAGTACATCTTATAAGTAAGTTTACAAAGTTTTAGATCAATATGGTTATAAGGAGTGGGATAGAACTTATGGAAATTCAATATAGAAGAAATATATATTTATTTTTCATTTCTGACCATAGATACTTTTTAAGGCGAGCTCAGTCCTAGCAAAAATCAAGAGATCGACTCAGCCCAGCCAAGTTTTGACAGCACTCCAAAATTTTGTCAGACATTTTCAGTACGTCTCAGGAGTGCAGCTGCTGCACAGGAATTATGAAGACAAAAGAAATAGAAATGTATCTCTGCCATACATGCACATTCACTCATGTTGTATCCCTTTATGACCCTGCAAGTACAGAAAAATACTTGTTGATGTGCCAGAATGAGGCTTGGCCCAATGTAGGGTTCAACTAAATCTTTCCCTGTTTGGAGTTCATGAATCAGCCAAACTATTTGGCCGCTTCACCAGCCCGAACATCCTGTGTCCATTGGTTGCTGTCTAAAATCCTTGGCCAAATATAGTTTTTTGGGTTTTTTTTTCATGGGGCCCTGCCTTAAATTCATACCAGACCCTCATCAAAGAAGTGCACTCAGCTCCTAAGTCGTGCTATGTGTTTACAACACAGTGAGGGGAATCTATCAAAACTGGAGCAGACAAAATCTGAACCAAACAACTTCTCTCTTCAGTTTGTTCATTTAAGATTTGAAAAATAAGAGAGAAGCTGATTGGTTGCCCTGCACAGCTGCTCCCGATTTTGTCTGCTCCTGTTTTGATAAATTCCCCTCACAGTATTTTTGTGGACTTAGTGGTGTCAGCCCTACCCAGCTTTCTTTTCCTTAACCACTCAAACCCTCCCACTCTTCCATCGCTACATCCACTGGCATACCCATAATGTGTACGCCAGTGCACATGAGCCCCAAGACTCTTAGGGCCAAATGTGCACTCACTGCACACTTTGGGGATTTTTGTGGAAGTGCTCCTCTGCCGTTCTTTGAGCTGCAGCTGTGGCTGTCACTTGTGGCTACAGCTCAAAAAAGATACACATATGGAATACCTTGCCCGCCAGCCTAGGCATAGTGGCTGTGATGCTGGAATCCTGCCTGCTGCTTCATTGGACAGCGCAGCCTGGGAAGGTAGAGAAAAGAAGAAGCTGCAATATGACAGACCACATCTATAGTCGCGCCCCTCTGATCGATGTAAACTAGGGAAGTAGAGAAAGAGCAGTCCCAGAGACCACTAATGGGCTCCCACTCTCATATCAACTGCCAATCTCATGTCAACTGCCAATCTCATGTCATTCTTGAACCTTTCTTTCCCCTTCTACCGCTATGCCTTCTTCTTTCTACCCATCATCTGTCTTTCCTATTTTTCTTCTATGTCTCTCTGTCTTAAATACCTGGTACTACTGGCTCTTTCTAGTTATTTGTGTCTGACACCAACCACAGTAATTAACAGTTCATACATCATTGGCATGTTTTGCCAAAAAACATATTTATGAGGATACACATGAATTGCATCACAGAGCTCAGTGGGAGCAGCAACTCAAGTCAAGTCAGCAGCTCCTCCTTGTTCCTCACTTTCCACATCTACCCCCTCCACAACAATCTCCTGCTGCATCCATTGCAACATCTTTGACACTGACACTGAAGGAGGTTTCACAGGGGGTTTCAGAGGCTTAGGATACTCAATATCAGATGGGAAAAGCAAATTATGGGGTCATGTTAGGGAGGCTTCAGCAAAGCATTGAATCTCTGCAGAATTCTGCTACCCCCACCCTGCAGTCACCAGATGCATCCTTTCCAGGGCAAGTGTCTCTTCCTCAGCTAGTGGAAAAGAAAAATGTACCAAAATCAAGCCTAGCGTCTTGATGTGTCTTGATGCCAGCTTGTCAAAACCACGGGCTTTGCAGCTGCTCCCATTGCACTCTGAATAATAATTTTTCCTCTACACTTTCTACTCATTTCACATACTATTTTGTACATGTTCTCTTTCACATACTATTTTGTACATGTTCTCTTTCACATACTATTTTGTAACTCTGACATTTTTACCTTTGACACTTATCATCTGGATGTTTGGTTTGATATAACGCCTGCCAGTTGTGTCAATACAAGTAAAGAAGCCCTGATTTGTAAGCTACAACCATCTTTCGTATGCTGTTTATTACACATGCTCTAGGTGGAAAGTAGAGATTTGGTCTAAAGCTAAAATGCATTTGGACTTCATGTAGAGCCTTTAAAGGTATATGTGTTTGCAGGGCCTAGAAAACAACCACCTAGGTCCCTTATGGTTGGTAGACTTTCAGTGTTGATCTGTGACCATCCAACACTGCCAGTACTGCTGTATGCACAGCCTTTGGATGGGTTGTGGGCCACAAGGAAAGACTCACCGCTTCTTTATGTTTAAGGCTGTTTATAAAATGAGAAGTCTGCAAAAGATAAGCATAGTTATACTCTTGGATTTGGTAAAGTAAATTAACCTGTTTTCATAATTCATTTTTTGTCGTTCTGTGGAAATTGTGTTCATAATCGACAAATAATGTATATAAAAAAATATATAAATTGAAACTGAATAAAAAAATTAATGTAACTTCTCTAGAGTCTCTCCCATCCCCTGGAACTTGTTACCCCAACATGTCCGACTATCTCCCACTATGACTGCCTTTAGGCGATCCCTTAGGACTCATCTCTTCAGGGAAGCCTATCCCACCTCAAACTAACCACTGAACTATCACATTCTCAAACAATTCATCCCCACACAGCTACCTCCTCATGTATCACTTCCCCCTCCATTTTAGATTGCAAGCCCTCAGGGGAAGGGCCCTCCTTACCATCTTGTCTTGAATTGTATTGTGATTGTAATGTCTTCCTTATATTGTAAAGCGCTGCGCAAACTGTTGGCGCTATATAAATCCTATATAATAATAATAATTGTAATGTCTTCCTTATATTCTAAAGCGCTGTGCAAACTATTGGCGCTATATAAATCCTGTATAATAATAATAATTGTGTAAACATTAACATTTCTAGAATTATGCTACGTCCAGATGAACAAGGCATTATGTGTAGGTGAAAATATTATTATTTATTATTATTTCATCCTACTAAAGGTTGCTGGCGTGTCCCTCATCGCTTCCTACAGCTTATACAACATAAGGAGCAGGTAGGTAAAATATTTTGGTTTTATATGTAGATTTAATATATCATGAATTTATAAAGCCACATTTTTATTACATTTTATTTGAGGAATCCATGTAAAATATATACAGTGCAAGTGAGTGATCCCAGAACAGATTTCGCCATACTCACCATTACCATTCTCACACAATATTGTGTGATCCCCGAAATACAAGAAATAATAGCATTTTTACTGTGCCCCACAATACAGTTTTCATATTGTTAGTTAGCCAGTTCACCGTTCTGATTTACTTGCTAAAGATGATAGCTGTCCAATTCCCCAATCTTAGACAATTGTTATTGTGTCCCAGGATATAGTGTTTTAGATTTTTAGTCAGTCAATTAGATTCGTTTGGGCTTTTCTGGTTCACTTGCTAAACCGGATGGTCTCCTGTCCAAATCCCAGCAAAAAAGTCTAGTCCTGAAATGAGTGATTGACACTATAACTATTTTTTAATGTATAGTCAGTCAATTATTCAAATTAGTTTAGGCTTTTCTGGTGCCTGCCCTGACCCAGGAAACCGCAGACACAACACAGCAGATCCCATTAAAATTATATCAATCTTACTGTGCCCCATCATCAGGATATTAATTTTTTAAATTCAGTTAGTCAATTATGCAGCTTAATTAAGGCTTCTCCTGCCTCACTTACTAAAGAATATTATAACTGTTGAAATAGGTGAGTTGCTTCTAGGGTTGCCACCTGTCCAGGATTCACCCGAACAGTTCGGGTTTGAAATGCTGTGTCCGGGTTTCATGGCAGCAGAAACCCGGACACAAGATGTCAGACAGACAGGGGCAACCAAAATGAAGATAGGGGCTACTGGCCCCCCACTGAAAATAGTCTCAACTGTGATATTTACATATGAATGGGCGGCTATTTTTATATATGAATAAGCCGCGACTCATTCTCCCAAAAAAATGTCCACGCGCCGATTGAGTGTTCGGGTTTCGCTTGAAGAAAAGGTGGCAACCCTAGTTGCTTCTACTAAAGAATATGGCTGACCACTGCCACGTGTCTCTTCCTTGCTGGGCCCACACACAGAAAGCCAGCTAGCTCAGCAGCATTGTCTCCTGTAGCTCACAGGGAGCATATTTGAGGGCTCTTGATTTAGGTTGCAGAGAGTGGTGATGAGAGGAGGAGGTCAGGTGGTCTGACGTCAAGCCAAGCTTCTGATGTCACCAACGATGTTGTCTAGCAATGCAGAATGCGGGTGGGGGCGCAGGTGCAGAAAAACATGGAGTGTAGGTGGCATCTAGGCTGCAGCTGTCAATCAAGTTAGGGACTTTGTGAAGGCCAGTGCACTGTGATCATTGACAGGAATCATGCAGCTGGGGATCTTGGGGGTTGGAACGATTGTCGCAGAGAGGTAGGTATGTAAATGACAGGTACATTTTCAGCTTGAATTCACAGACCCCCACCAGGTACTGTTTACATAATGTTTGGCCGCATTCTCCAGGCCCATAAGACATTCACCTGTCTGTCTGCAGGCCAGTCCTCTATGTTCACCAGTATTGCCTGTAGGCTCTATGCAGCTGATCATTTTGCCTTTGCACACATTTGCCTTTGAACATTTGCCGAAAGCTCAGATCCACAGAATGAATGAAGCAGAGAGATCTGTAAGAACTGTAGATCCTTAGGTACAGCTTCCTCTCCAGCAAGGAGAACAGTAATGTAAGAAATGGGGGAACCCAAGGTGGAAGTTGGATGGATCAACAAAATATGTCAAAATATAAACCAAATTGTACAATTATAAACACTTCCTGGTTTGTCAGCTGTTATCTGTGTTAAAAATGAATATGGAAGAAACAGGCTCCCACTTAGCTGAAAAACCACATAATCAAATTAATATTCTTCAAACAAAACTAGCATAAAGTATAAAAAGTAAATTTATTTCAAGAAAATATATATAACCAGGATTTACCAAATGTGCACACATATATCCCCCTCCCCAGCAGTAACAAAACCCTTCCCTATACAAACACAATGCATGTTAGATCAGTTGGGTTCCTAGTGTATATATAGAACCTATATAGAACAAATTCATACACATGTCCTGTGTTGATATATATGGTATCCATGTGGTGGGTGGTGTTAATTAGGTGTCTCAATCCATAAGCTGTGTGTCTTGAGGTGCTTCCTGTGAACACACCCTGCTACACAGTATTTCTCACTACCATTGCGTATGTAATTTTCCTTCATCAATTATAAGATGATTTTGAAGACAAAAGTTGTAAAACACCAGTGAGAATAACTGCAGTCTGAATAAGCAGAATTTTACAGTATGTGCGTAGTTGTGCGTCCTACTGTGCTTCCCATGAAGGCTGATGTGATGATCCCTGAAGTGTAGCTAAGTGGGAACCTGTTGTTTCTTCCAAGGAGAACAGCAAGCAGCACAGTAGTGAATCCCACTCAGAATCTGATAAGACTAGCAGTCAGAGGCATCAATTCCTTAGCTCTAAAACAGATTTACAGCTATAAGGCTTAGGCAAAGGAAGTGTACTGCTCTAAGGCCTTCTTTAATAGGGTAACCACCAGCTCCCAATGCCATAAGAGCATTGTCACCCTCTTATGTGAACTACAGCCACCATGAATTCAGAGATGTTTGGGGGTTTACAACTGAGTTACATTTGTTAACAGTTAAGGTACTTAAATGCAATTTTAAGGTTTAACTCCTGAGTTTAAGTCACTTTAAAGGAGAACTATGGGGTAAGTGTTTTTCCCCATAGTTCTCCTAAGGGTCACGGGAGGACACAAACTAGCGTCCTCCCGTGACCCAAAGCTCAGTATACCGTGAGCTATAGCTCACGGTATACTGAGACCGCCGCAGCCGGGATCTGTCGAGATCCACCCAGTTGCGTTATTAACAGCTGGCTCTGCCTATCTAGAGGCAGAGCCAGCTGTACCCGCCCCCTCCCCCGTCTGTTCCCCCACTCAGCGCTGGAGGATCGGAGCGGGGAGGGGGGAGAATCCCTGCAGGGAGCTTTGAGTGACAGTCACGGCTCTCTGCAGGGAGATAATCGAGAAGTGAGCGATCAACGATATGTGTTCGCTCACTTCCCGATCTATTGAGCCGACGTGTGACAGTTTCATTGTCACACATCGGCTCGAACTATGAGGTTGAGTGAAAATCACTCAGCTCATACTTCTCCTTTAAGGATACTGCTTAGGCACATTTAGCATTTCTAGATGTTCTCTATAGTATAGCAAGTCTTCACTCTTTGGATTCAGGTCCAATTTAATGCTTGAAGAGATCACAGTCAGCTATCAGGGTATATAAGCTTTAATAGAAGAATAGAACAGATAAATATTAGTAGATACATATCAGCCACATGTAATGATTCTGCTTATAAAACAAATTGCTGAATTTGGCAAGTATATCAGCAATATTTCATTTTTTTATTTTTGTTGTAAATCAAGGTAAAATGAAATGGTGCAGCCATGGTGCATAGTGTTGTCAGTGAAGTGATTAATGATTTCTTACAAGCACAGTGTTATACGTTGTCAAAATGCACAGTGTTATACAGTGTCATGTGTATTCATGTATATGTACATTTTAATATACAGTTTTGTGCAATTTAAGCATCTTTGTTACATACAGGCATTTCTGGAACATCACTCCACCTGGAAAAAATGAGACCATGCTGCAGTATGCCGACTGGGGTCCTCAGGGGAGTCAGCTGGTAAGTTAGGAATACATAGTGAAGGGAATTTATCAAAACTGGAGCAGACACAATCTGGAGCAACTGTGCATGGCAACCAATCAGCCTCTCTCTTTCATTTTTAAATCTTAACTAAACAAACTGAAGAAAGAAGCTGATTGGTTGCCATGCACAGCTGCTCCAGATCTTATCTGCTCCAGTTTTGATAAATTCCACTCAGTGTGTATACTGTATATATTTATAGTTATTATATGTGTATTAGAAAATTGTTCACGCACATTCAAGTGTGGCGGATATTGGCAGCTACTATATTGAGTTCTGTCTGGGATTCTTCAGTTAACGATAAAGTTTCAACAACCCTCTTTCCTCTCTGGGAAGATAATTTGATGTGACGTCAGTCCTCTCTGCAGCCAGCGTCCAACATACTACTTTTGTCAAAGGAGCAACATTCAGCTGCAGTGACTGTTCAGGTATTCTGAAAAAACACACCTGCCGCTGTCAGATTACAATAGTAAGGTAGGGGGAAACTCCCCATCCTCCTTGTTTAGAGTGGACAGGGGAATCAAGTGTTTTTTCTCTTTAAGACAATAAAATTACTAGTGTTATGCCAACTTTACATATGCAGGAAGGATAAATAATACTCATGACCAGTCATAAAAGTTTAAAGTCTAACTCCAGAAATAAAAAAATACATACCTGTAATCCAGCAATTTTCTGGATGGTCATGTGTTGTCAAGGGTCCTTCCTCTTCTTGTCAGTCATAGGCAGCGAGCGGTACTTACACTAAATGGTGCTCCATAATGAGGTGTGAGCACTGTTCAGTGCAGCAGTACTGTGAGCTCAGGGCCAGGGCGATGTCTTTGACAGCCCAAGCTCACCGTACGTGGTTTGAATGGTGTTGGTTGTAATTCATCCTGGAAGAGGAGTGCCGGACTGTTGGGCTGTTTATTCTTTTTTACATAGAGTTCTCCTTTAAGCATATCTTACCCAAGTAAATAACAATTTTGAGAACATGCAAATAATATATCATACAGATAATGGGACAAAATACACACAAGGGACACACAAGGTAAAAATGGTATTGCAAAACATACTTTATCTTTTAAATGCTAGAAGGAAGCTTTTTCGATGCAGATACATCAACAACATATCAGAAAGAATCGGGTATCTCCATCACCTCCTATTGGGAAACCGTTGCAGAGAAAATTCCAAATGAACTTTGGCATGGAAACCTGATCTGAAACACACTTCATTTTGTGGAAGGCAAAGCTTGCATGTTCCTAAAAATATATACAGTATGCAAAGCCTATGCAAAATAAGGTATCTTTGTAGCCCACAGAGAGTAAAGAATTTTGCATCAAGACAACAATATCACAATCAGCCGGAGTATAATTATTGATGGTCTCCTATTTATCCAAAATCTTTTGAAGTGACATAATCTGCTGAGTCAGAACAAGATCCTGAGGACAAACCCCCTCCAGCACAACATAAAAAGGAACAAAATAACATTGACTGCCATAGAATATTCTGCTAGTACAAACGAAGACCTTGAACCACCTACAATTTCAGTCTGCAAGTTGCTGTATGGGCATTGCAGCCCGACATGTGTCCTGCATGGTTTATATGGTACCACAAACTGAGCCCGAGTCATAGAAAGAAATGTAAAAAAATGCATATCCAGGAGAAAGTAAAGGTGAATAAAGAGTTAGCATCATTCAAGCAGCTTTGGACTTCGGAACTTGCTAGTCTACCTAAAAGCAAGCACATGATTGAATTTAAATAAAGAGCAAGATTGGTTGTAAAAGAGTATGCACAACAATATACTCAGATTTAAAAACAATGTCACCCAAAAAAAAGCCTGCTCAAAAGGTATTGAGTGTTTGCACTTACCTGAAAAAGCTTTCAGTACCCCTTGGTTTTTTCAAATGCCTGGCCATTCTGCCATGCAAAGCTCTGAGACTTTGTGAACCGTCAGCGATTGCCCATTCTCTCTCCCCCTCATATGTCTATTGGCCATTACTATATGGCTGCCACACTTACCAGTAGGAATGGTTGGGCAAGCTAAAGCAACGTCAGCTTTAGTAAAAATAGCCTGTTCAAGATGCTAAGATGCCACTTTTGCTCAAGCTGGAGAAAATCGTAGTTTTAGAGCCTTGGGTACCCTAGGTACCCTATTAAAAATGACTGTGAGACATCACAACAAATCAGCCTTTCTCAGTGGTGATATCATAGAGTAGCTGCTTATAACACAACCAGAAATGTTTCTTATGCATTTATAAAAATCAGGTGGAGCATAAAAAATCAAAAAATCAGGTGGAGCATAAAACTCAAACATAAATAAGTTCATATAGTCCAAACCAAGCCCAACACCACTTCTATTCTCAGCCTGGCTCCCTCCATCTCAATAGTGTTCCAGGTACAGGTAATGAATCGGTAAATGGTCACTCGCACTCCAACTTGATGCAAAGTCAATACCTTTTATTGACCGGGATAGTGTCACAATTGTAGCAAATGTGACACTATCCCAGTCAATAAAAGGTATTGACTTTGCATCAAGTTGGAGTCCGAGTGACCATTTACTGATTTTGCACTATTGGCGGAGGCATCTGCGGTCGCATCAGCACCCACCCGAGTTTTGGGTTTGTTTCCGGTCAGGAGTGCGGTGGGATATACCTTGGAGGTACAGGTACTGGACACACCGCCACTCTAACTCACATGTCTTTGAACAAACACCACGCTCCACAGAATCTTCACTGGAGATAAAACCCTTTTTTCAGAAAACAAAAGACACACTGTCCAGTCCTTTACGATTAAGCCCAATTAGTGAAACGCGTTAGTGATGGTGTAGTGTTTGTTCAAATACTTATAATTAGGTCATGTTATAGAAAGAGCTCTCTTGAAGTAGAGCAGATACATTTCCAAACTTTAAATCAGGGTTGGCACCCTGGGCACTCCAGCTGTGGTGAAATTACAAATCCCATCATGCCTCTAGGAGTCATGTCTGTAGCTGTCAGGATCTTGCAATGCCTCCTGGAACTTGTAGTTCTACGGCAGCTGGCATGCCGAGGTTGCCTACTCCTGCTGTAGATGGACAAATGTGATATGGCTGGTACTGCTAGTCTAATGATTTGATTAGTTTTCACAAAGAAAATAAGAGTGCAGCACATTAAAATGAGTACTTATGAGATATGACCTGCACACTGAGGAATGCACATACACCATTAGGAGAATAGAAATTTTCCGACATTGTTAAAAGGAATGTGATCCTATTTAGTTTGGCATGGCAGAATCCAAAGGTTTTGTACATTTGAAGTTTTTTGGGAACATCTCCCAGTGCTAAATCAACCTCACTTTCAAGGGGAACTCTAAACCATCCCCGGGCTGTAAGTCAAATAGAGTATGTGCTATGGTGCACGGTAGCTTTTCTTGTTATGTACAGTATATAATATAATGAACATGCATATGAATCTGGTTCTGAAAGACTTCAACATTTAGTTAAGTAATGCTTTCCACGTTTGGAGTAGCGCAATTTCTGACTACCACTGCTACTTTGTTTAAGGGCATAGCTATACCGGATTGATCTTGGAAAGCACCTTTGATGTTTGTATTGCTTATGCTGCTCCTTATTTTGCTACTTAATTTCTGAGGACTATTTTTGAAGTTCACATAGCCTAAGCAGCTCTTTGCTCTTCTGTTTAATCATTTAAATGTACTGTAGCTGCAAATTCCGCTCTAAATATTGTGTCATTTGTATTGTTACATGCTTGGCTGCACATTTTGTTGTTACTGTTGCATTAAATATCATTACTTCTGTACTGCTGGACTAGATAAGTACCAAGCATATAAAGGATTCAACAAACAACCTGATTGTGAAAAACTTTTTTATTTAATAAAAAGCACAGGATACAACTCTGACGTGTTTAACACTTACAAACAAACCGGACCAGCGCCCAATCATAGTGGATGGGCATCAAAGCTAAGAGCCACCTAAAGTAGTATGTTTGATGTTCATTTGAATGCAGGACTAGATAGTTGTGATTTTGAATACACGTTTTTTCCTTCATATAATAAATATTACCCTGTACTTCCTATCTTTGGGGTCTTTTTATGAACAATTTGCAGAACCATTTACCCTGCGATTACATGTGAACATTCATTCTGTGCAAATAGAGGGAAAAACAAACTTTCTTAGTATATTTTCTTTTCAGGTCAAATGCAATATTCAGAAAACACCTATTGCAGTCACTAGATGGAGCTGAGGGGCATAGAAAATAAGTATTTATTTTCTATGCTCTTCAGCTCTATCTAGTGGCCATAATGCAGTATTTTCCAAATATTACATTTGACCTGAAAAGAAAACTAGATGCAACAGAGAAGCATAAGAAATAAACTTCTTTCCTGTGCTTCTTAGCTCTGTCTAGTGTCCATAATGTTGCAAATATTGCATTTGATCTAAAAAACAAAATATACTAAGAATGTTAATTTCAGCCTTCATTTGCACAGAATAAACATGCACATAATTTTGCAGAGGGAGAATGGCTCTAGTTAGTGTTTAGAAACAGAATCCTTTGTGTTTTCATCATAAAGATTTGGCAACTGTGCTTATGGTCCATTTAGATAATGTAGTAAATTGTTTCCAATGTACCCAGCGATTAAATAGCAAATTTAGGAGCTGGGCACATTGGAAACATGTTATTTTTCTTATTCAAATCAATTTTGTAAAGACAATACTACTGTTTATAAATGATGTAAATCCTAATATTTAACAGTACAGACACGCAAAAAGGGTAGTTGTTTATTGCAACCATGATACATCCAGATAAAGAAGTTTGCCATAGTGGTTAGCACTTCTGTTATCACCTTGCAGCACTGGGTGGTTCCAGGTTCAAAGCCTGGTAAGGACACTAAATGCATGTGGTATGCATGTTCTCCCTGTGCTTGAGTGGTTTTGAGGATATAAAATGCTGTTTCTTATCTTTATATGTGATGTGCTTTCTAGGTGTTTATCTTCAATAATGATATATACTATCAAGAATCAGCTTTAGGTCCGGTGCTACGACTTACTTCCTCAGGGGATTCAGAGAGTGTGCTCAATGGTATTTCTGACTGGACTTACCAAGGTCAGTCTGTATAACATGCACTGCACCTGGAATTATTTCTGGTTAAATCAGATGCTCAAAGAAGTTTCTCTTAAATAAATGTTAATTTTGAAGTAGTATATAGAAATTAATAGGTCAAGTACATAAACAACCTCGAGGCGCGATCAAAACAATGAATACAATGTATACAACACAACCACATAAAATGGAACTTGATTTTCAGGTGTATTGTTCATAGAAGTTATTCATAATGTTTTGACAAGTAAAGCCAAAGAATTTACACATGTGACTTCAATACAATTATAGGTTTTTGGTAAAACTGTTCCACTCCATTATGTAATCTACACTATACCTGTCAGTACTGTATATGTGCCTGCATTTGCAATGCATATCTCTATGCATGCATACATGCTTGTGTTTGCCATCACTCTAAAGGAGCTTAGAAATATTACTGTTAGTTTTGGACCTTGTCCAATTAGAAGTGTAGGCTAAGATTAACATTTAATTTTTTTAGTATTTCGCATTACAGACATGCATTGGTCATACATTAAGCCCTTTATGTAAAGGCATACCCCTAGAAAAAGCCAGCAGCTTACAGGCTGAATAAGTGAGAGCAGGCACTTCGCACAAATTCCCTTCTCTAGTTGCTATGGCTCTGTATGAATTTCCATTTAGAGAGAGGAAGCCCACCAGTGAGGAGCTAGCACTGGACGGTTTTACTAGAAAACATAGAATGCTACATTACATGTCTACTTTAAAATGAAGATTTTATACAATTAATGTAAAAAAAAGAAATACACAATTGGTTTAAAAGCTTGTAAACATTCAAATAAATGAAATACACTATTAAAACAATGTTAGTTACCCTTTAATAAATACATTGTAACAGCCAAAGAAACCAACTTAGAAACTACAGAGAAACATCCATAACCCACCCTGCCTTCCTCATTAACAAAAAAAAGTAAATGCAGACCTTAGATGTAGATGAATGGCATCATCACTTCCCAGGGTCAGGTCTGTGGGGCTGCTCTGAATTAGTGGTCCCAGTCATTTTTTTAGTAGGATGTCCCAGGGGACACTCTGCAGATAGCTGTTTTAATACTGCATTGATGGGGCTGGGTCATGTGCAGATTTTACAGCACATCTTTCAGTATTTATACCCCACTTAACCCTGGGCAAGCGGTGGTACGAACTCTTTCATTTATATTTGAGGTTTATATTTATTTTTACAAAAGACTCTCTAATATGGAGGAATCCAACTGCAGTAGGTATGAAGTATTGGTGCATACCAGCAGTAGCCTCCTGGAGCCTTTCTAATATTGCCCGAAGCTTGCCCACCTCCTGCCTCTTGTGTATTCCTCTTGGCCAGTAAGGCTTTCCATCATAGCCCTGGACAGTTATACTAACAGTTAATACATAATTACTTTAAAGTGTATGTATGGCCAAAATAGTTTTGGATAGATCAGGTGACAACTGTCTAACAGGGAAATCCACTCACTTTGTATAGATATCCACCCACTTCCTGTTGCTTCCATGAGACAGGAAGTAAAATGAAATCTCATGGGACACAGTCAGCAAAAAAAGACAGGGATTTGAACTCTTCCCTTCTCCATCCAAAAAATAGTTTTGGCTACACATACATTGTAGGTTATAAAGTGTAAATTAAAAAGAATGTTCTAAGTTAAATAGAATGTATATATAATCAGATGTGAAGGAAGAGACTTTCCAGTTTCTCCAACACTCTTCCTCCAAGTCAATTCCTGTCACTTGGTGATGCTTATTGCAGGATTTAGAGTCTTGTTACTCTACATCTATCCTTTACTGTAAACCTGCTCTTTGCGGTTAACCTGAAGAGTAATGGTAAGATCATTTTAAATAAATACTTAACATGAAAAGTTTGTTTTCCAGAGGAAGTGCTGCACAGTTATGCTGCTTATTGGTGGTCTCCTGATGGGGCTAGGTTAGCCTATCTCTCTATCAACACTAGCCGTGTCCCTAACATGGAGCTGCCACACTTTGTGGGTGCCGACTACCCAGCCAGCACACATTATGCCTACCCAAAGGTAATGATTTTATTATGCCTTTAATGTACTGTATACATTTTGGTATTTTTTCAATAAATCTCATGGAGAATACTTCTTTTAGTTTTATTTACCCGTTACTTGGTATATAAGAAGTGTATGATGAACCACACATAGACATCTAAGGCAGTGTCAGGGACCGGGGCTTTGTGCCTTAAAAGGAATGGGGCTGCAATGTGCCCTAGCACTGAATTAAAGGAGTACTATGGGGTTAGGGCTTTTCCCCATAGTTCTCCTAAGGGTAACGGGAGGACACAAACTAGCGTCCTCCCGTCACCCTAAGCTACAGCTCGCGGTATACTGAGACGCTGCAGTATACAGCGAGCTACAGCTCGCGGTATACTCAGACGCCACAGCTGAAACGGATGCCGACAATTATGTCTGGATCCGTCCAGCTGCATGAGTGACAGCTGGCTCTGCCTATCTAGAGGCAGAGCCAGCTGTACCCTCCCCCGTCCGTTCCGCCAGTCAGCGCTGGAGGATGGGAGCGGGGAATCCAGCCATTCCCCTGTCACGGCTCTGTGCCGTGACAAGAGCGAGAAGTGAGCGAACGCCGGTATGTGTTCGCTCACCTCCCGATCTACTGAGCCGACCTGTGACAGTTTCATTGTCACAGGTCGGCTAGAACTATGAGGATGAATGAAAAGCTCATTTGTTGCCCCAGTAATGGTCACTCTTAGTGGCACATCAGCCTAAATTGCAGGTTTTGCCTCTCTTTATTGTAGGAATGCATCTAAATATGCTTCTGTAGATGTCTGCTTTGCCCAAAAGAGAAAAAATATCTGATCCTCCCAGAATTGATGGCCATCTAATGCCTGTGGGCACCTTGATATAATGCATTTTTACGGAATACATAGCTATGGGCTCAATACTATTCTATGAGTGTTAGTGTGGTTTCTAATATCCCTTAACTTCTCGTCCTTGGAGAGGCTGTGGCACATCTTGTTTAGCTAGGCTGAAGCAGTACGAGGTGTGTAGAGCATGTTAATTAATCAGCCCATGATTGTTAATTTAGTCATTAGCATATAGATTTGCAAATAAACTTTATTACAAGAGCTGCGCACTTCTGGCAGTGTCTTCTCTAGACGTTATAAATGTCACTTTCACGTATTGACTTATGTAAAATACTTCCCTAACTGCTGAAGAAGAAATTAATTAACTATGAAAAGGCCTGCTTTGTCTTATCTTTATTTTTTTCCAGGTTTACAGAAATTTATATTTTTTAACAGAACAGAAAATTCATTTTAAAAGCATTTGTCTGTATAAAATATTGTATAAAGAGGCTTAACCAAACCGGGCAATGTGTGTATAATCAGAGGAGCAAATATTGTATTGTAGTTAGTGTAAATATTTTAATTTTTCTGTTTTATTTGATACCTTTTACATGCTTTCTGTTCTGTAGTTTAAAAAAAGGATTTTAGATACAGATCTTTTTAAATATTTGTAAACCCAGTCACTGAAATCTTATCTAAGCTTTATCATATTAATTTCAAAAGTCACTTTCAATATTTTTACATCTGCAGCTTTTAGTAAAACAATACTTGGTGATCTTACCATAAGGGTCCTTGTTCAGGCACTTCCTGTTGTAGGGTGAGAATCCTCTGTCCCTGCCTACCACTTGTACTCCTGTGTTGTCACCCTATCACATAGGCCTCTGATGGAGACTGCAAGTGGCTATTTTAATACACATGATGCAGGCATGATCCACTGTTGTCATCAGGAAACCTGCCCTGTAGTCATCGTTAGAGTGTATGTATGCATGTTGACAGAAAGGGGCTGCAAAGAGACTCCAGAAGATCAGCAAATCAGATGCAACAAAGAATGAAAAAAGTAAATACAGTAATTTATTTTTAAATTATTTGTAACATAAGACATATATAAAAAAAAAAAAGGAAAAAGTAACATGGCTAAGGCAAGTGCTTAATAAAAGAAGCCTGTACTGTGAGACATTTCTAAGCAGCCATTGTTAACATCCTTCTGAAAATAAAGAAATCCAAAAAAAGGGTCCACATTGCTCTCTGCTAAACTGTGTTTTATTAATATTAAATGGATTCATAGGGCAGGCAGGTATCCAGACAAGGAGCCTTGATGTGTTTTGCACGCACAGTGCTCATGAGTTATAACTAAGGACTTAGTGTGCGAAATATGTGAAGACTCTTTATTCTGATACCTGTCTGCCCTGTGCATCCATTTATATTAAAGGAGTTGTAAAGTCCCACCATATACTATCCTGTTATAAAATCAGCATTGTAATAGGAATTCATACTATGCACTAACAATACAATCAAAGCTTTCTAGAAAAATCCCTTTTATGTAGCAAGTGCTGTCTTCTCTCTGGCCATCACTTTCAACAACTTTCCCAGTGTGCTTTGCGTCTCTATCCCTGCTGCTTGATGTGATGCAATCTTGATTTCTCAGGTCTACATAACCCATCATGCATTGCTTCCAGCAAACAATAGGTTATGTTACATTGTTCAGATGTTGAGTTGTATTTCAGAAGGCAGGCTCTGTGAAAATTCTGACACAAGGAAGTGTTTATTCACAGGGCAGAGTGAAATTCTGTCAGTGCTCTGAGGAAGTATATCCTATGGGGATCTTTAATAAAGGTTTTAAAAGGTAGATTTGCAAACTTCTAGATTGATATGGTTATTAGGAGTGGGAATAGAAATTGTGCAAATTCAATATGGAAATACATAATTAATTTTTAGTTTCTGACCATAGATACCTAAAGCAGAACTCCAGGCAAATATAGTCCTAAACCTTGCAGGGGGGCTACCCCCGCACTGCAAGAGTTAAGTGCTTAATTTTGTCTAGGTGCTACAAAAAAGTTATACTCACCCGTGGAGCCAGATGGCTGCTACTCTGGTCCCTGAAGCCTGCCTCTTACTCCGCTGCAGTGATAGTATGTAGACTGTCTACAAAACGTGATGATTTAAGGATCCTTAGACCACTGCAGCAGAAGGGGAGAGAGGCTCCAGGGACTAGTCTAAGAGTAAGTCAGTTACGAGGATCAGGTGGGTATAACTTTTTTTAGCACCTAGACAAAAACAACCACTTAAGCCGTGGAATCCAGAGGTAGCCCACTGCAAGGGTTAATAACATGTTTGCCCATAGTTCTGCTTTAATAAACCTCAGTCTAGCGGTTAGCAATGTGGACCCAATTCCTTTGTATTCCTTTGTATGCATTAGGACTGGGCAAGGTTTGGGAACTATGGGAGACCTCTGTAAGCAAAGGGACGTGGGACTGGCCCTGGCAGCAGGGACTTGCTTGTTTTGCATGCCCTTCTGAAAATGCTGGTTGCTTGTCTGTCTCTGGCTTCACTACAAATCACTGCCTAGAAGAAGAAGCATGCAAGAAAGGAAGTTAAAGTGAAGTCAAACCTACCGATTTACATTCCTTTTCCAGGTCAGTGATTCAGAAAATGAAATAGAGAATTCCTCGACAGGGTTGTTTTAATGTGCTTGGTAATGCATATGCTCATTAAAAGCTTCAGAAAGTGGAAAGCACAACACAGCACTTTACTCTGTTATCTTACAGGCAGGACAGGCCATTCCCGTAGTAAAAGTGTTTGTTGTCAATCTATATGGTCCATCACACACTGTGGAGATCCTTCGCCCTGATTCTTTTGAGTACAGGTAAACCAGACAAGTACTGAATGGATGATATAATATGCTTGTACAGTCATTCTAATGTGCAGATTCATCTGAAGGTGTCTGTGCAGTACATAGTGTCTATGACTGCAGATTAACATTTCCAGTCACATTGTACTGCAGTGACGTCATGCAATATATTTCTGTACGATGATGAAAAGTTGGCAAGATCATTCCATCATATTAATGTATGCATAGGCAAGGATGTTTATGTGCTCTGCTGCTTCACTGAATTTTAATATGCTTGACAGGAGGTGTTTTTTTCCAGATGAGCTGACTTTATCTTTAGCATTGAAAATGTAACTTCTTAACAGAGCTCTAAGGTTGAATGTTCCCTCTACATTATAGCTGTGTGACATTTGCATGTACTGTGATATTACTGTTAGCAATCCTAATTCAGTATAAATCATTACCGAGACAACATTTTTCAATTCATGCTTCATTGCTAAGTAAAATGTGGCAGGTGAATGTAGCTGAATTAACACCATTTGTTTCCTGTATTATGTAGCACCAGTGTATTCTGCTTTATTGAATGCCTAGAACCATTCACTTCATTCTCTGCCCCTGAGGAGCTTTGAGTCTAATTTATTGACCACAATCATGTACACATGCAAAGGGGTTGATTTAGTAAAGGTGTAGAGGCTGGTCACTTAGCTCACTCATGTGAATGTTCACTCGTCAACATTAATGTTAGTGAGTAAGATCAAGCTATGTTGACTTGGAATATCCAACCATGTGATAACAAAAATCCAGTTTGAAAAATGTCCCTCATACATGTTCAACATTGACTTTATGAAGTGCATATTCATTTTGCTAGAGTGACCAACCTCTACTCCTTCAGAAAAGCATCCTCATTCTGTGACCCGTTCTGGCCAAAAGCCAGAGGATGTTCTTGGATTGTGGGATAAAAACCAGAGTACTCAGAGGAAACCCATGCAAAGACATGAAAAGAAGATTAAACAATTCATGTAAATAGTGACCCTAGTTCAGGAACCCAATGCAGGAGATACACAGAGCTGGATAAAATAAAGCCAGTTGAGACAGAGTGGAGAAGGCCACTTTATTAGTGCTAAGCCCTGCTTGCATAGAATATTAGGTTTACCTCAAGCCAAAATGTTTTTCAAAGTGTGGGGAGGTTTTTTTTTTTATTGCTGTCGTTATCACATTAGGAAAAAACATTCACTTTTTGTACTGATAACCAATGTTACAGGATCTAAAATTGAGAAAAAATCCAACATTTTGAGTTGGTTCTTCTCTTCTCAGGACAAAAGTATAGGGTAACCCCCCCACCCCCTTTCCTAATAGGGCACAGTAGGCAAAAATAAACCATGACATGGGTTTCACCATAGGTCCTACCTGTCCCTCATTTGGAACCAAAAACTTGTGTCTCTCTTTTCTCCTTAGTTGTCCCTCTTTGTGGTCAGATGTGTAGACCTGTATGCACAAAATGTACTATTTATCTTCCAAAAGCCTTTCATTCAAACTCCGTGTTTCCTATTTTAAAAAGCTAGTATAAAGGCTAGAAAATAGTAAAAAAAGAACTTGTGGGTTTAACCAGACAGTGTATGCATGCTAATTTATTATTATTATTATTATTATTAATAATAATAATATTCAGGATTTATATAGCGCCAGCAGTTTGTACAGCGCTTACAATATAGGGAAAACATTACAGTTATCATACAATTTAGGACCATTAGGAGGGCCCTGCCCTTGAGAGCTTACATTCAAAAAGGGAGGGGCAAGTGGCACAAAAGGTGGTAGCCGTGTGGGAATGAGTTGTTTGAGAAAGTTATAGTTCAGAGGTTAGGTAGAGGCGGGATAGGCTTCCCTGAAGAGATGTGTTTTCAGGGATCTCCTAAAGGCAGACAGAGTAGAAGATAGCCGGACAGGTTGAGGTAGGGAGTTTCAGAGGATGGGAGAGACTCCAGAGAAGTCCTGGAGGCGAGTGTTGGAGGAGTTGACGAGAAAGCTAGAGAGCAGGAGGTCTTGGGAGGAGTGGAGAGGACGGTTAGGGTGATACTTTGACAAGGTTGGAAAAATTGCTGGGGGCAGAGTTGTGAATTGCTCTGTAACTGGTTGTTAATATTCTGAATTTTATTATTTGGGTGATTGAAAGCCAGTGGAGGGATTGGCATATTCTTTGTGGTCTGGGGCCATAGCAGGGGTGTGCCTTTGCTTACAAACTGTACATTGTGTTTTTCTTTACCACCACCAAAGTTGGGAGGTATGTTTTAACCATTCCCTAATCCTGAAAAAAATGACTTTAATGACTTTAATTAATCAATATCAGGCTGATTTATAAATGTTTGCCCAACATATAGCTGGGTGGAAGTGATTCACATGGCACTAGTGCCACTGGATGGCATTGAGGAGCACAGGCATTTCCTATGCTCCTCAGCACCACCTAGTGGCACTAGTGCTGTGGGAACGGCATTAGCTTAGTGTTTAGCAGCATATAACATTTATAAATCAGCCCCTACAAGGGCTTATTCACATTCACGCCCGTGCAAAGACCCTATCCCAGGAGGGATAAGTGCTATGTGTAATTGTGTGCAGCAACCAGTACTGGGAGGATGCGGCTGCATTCGGTTACACGCAGACCCAAACCTGCACGTCTGTGGAGATCCAGGTGCCTGCAGTTGGACACACACTGTCTGCCTCCAAGTGCAGGCACCCAGACCCACACTGATGTGCAGGTTTGGGTCTGCGAGTACCTGCGTGCAGCTGCATCCTCACATAATTTAAGTTTTTACAAAAAAGAAGGCAGAGGTGGTAATTTGGCATACAGCTCCCTTTCTGATAAGTCTTTTTCCTGTAGGGAATATTACATCACTCTGGTCAGCTGGGTGACGAACATTCAGCTTGCTGTGCAATGGTTAAATCGTTCTCAGAACTTATCAGTCCTCACCATTTGTGATGCAGTCACTGGGGCCTGTGTAGAGGTCAGTGTTCTGTCATTTAATCATTTGCATTATTAGTGACCATTTCATTAAAATAATATTCATTGAGTTGACAGGTATATTATCACATTTAAAATATTTGTTTAGAATTCATTTTTCAGAGTATTAATTTATATGTTGGAGTCATCATTCATTCTTATTTAAACACATTCATGTGAAATATTAAATAGCACGACTGCTGAAGAAATCAGAACTTTGAAACATGTTGAGAAGTTCAGGATTCTAATTGGTGTAGTTGTTAAATAAAAATCCAACCAGCCTCACTGGTTAGTTTAACCAACTGTTTAAGAAAGTCTGCTGCCAATGGGTGATGTCTAGTTTAGAGTTCTTCTACAATGTTTGTGGATGCATTATACTAGCTGTTATTTCAGTCACCAACCTCTGCTTTGTTTCTCACCTTTGGGTGTACGATGCTGGCCCTTACCTTGGTGCATTCCTGACTTAAATTCCTGTCACTTGATTCATTTCTGATGCCCAGCATGACTGATCTTCTGGAATTGCCCCCCCCCCCACCCCCCCGCTTGTCTTTTGACACTAACTCAACTTGGTACTGTATTTGTCCATCCGATTCTGGCTTTTCTCTTACTATGCTTTGCCTAACCCTGTATGTTTCTAGTTTACATCTATTCAGACATAACAATCCAGTTGATAAGACCCCCAAGTACAACAAAACATAAAATTTTTTTAGAACTGTTGCTATTATAGACAATAATTACTGCACGTGTGTTTATTGTGTTTAAACAGTAATTAGAACCTTGCAATGTTTTTTATCTGTTACTGTTATGCCTCCCCTGGCTTGGGAGAAGATACTTCTCTTTCCCACCTTTCATGTGGAATCAAGCTTGGTGTCTAGTGGTTATTGTGCCCACATTACCCGTGTTGTCTTGTGATTGTAGCACCTGTATTTACCACCAATTCTGTTGTTTATGTTACTGTATTTGTGCAGTTTCCAGTGGATTTTGTGCTCATTTCCTTCCTGGTGTTTAATGGTCTTTGTTTCTATTTTCTCAACATCATGTAGTGGTCTTGTGCCTGTAATTCCCATGTCGTCCTGCAGGTTTTGTGACCATATTTCTCCTGGCTTCTTATAGATTTTTGCCTATATACCCTTATAAATCTAGGAGTGGTTGTGACCATATGCTTTGTATTCATTTATCTTCTGGCAACTAGTGTTATTTGCTCGTATACTCATCTTGACATTGAGTGTATAGGTATGATAACTATATATAAATATATAATTGCTGTGAATTATATCAGTGATACCATATAAAGTTGGTATTATATGGATTATGGTATTGTACATAGTTATATTGATAAGGGCCCTTGAGGAGCTAAATTTGCAGTGGTTATAACCAATCTCTGGCCATCCCTCTCTTTAAAGGAGTTTGGAAGTAGGGAGCCTATGGTCCCTTTTTATGTCAGCCAGTGTGAAAAAAGACCTGAATTTGGATACCGATAATGTATTTTTTTACGTTGGAGTAATGCAGAACTTTATTTTTAACAAAGGTGGGGAATGCTTATTACCACTGGTGAATGGGTAAGTGATGTTATGCCACTTTCCAAGGAAAAAGATTGCAACTTACTTGTCTCCCATGGGGAGCAGGTGTGTTGGATATAAACACTTCCATGACAGCACCCTCTCTTAAGCACCCCTCTAAAAGCACCCCCAATAATGGGCATGGTATCAGCATGACAGGGCCTTAGACCTTTCCTGTTACCCGCTTTTATACTTATTTAAATGCAAAAGTAAATGCATGTATGGTTTGTAGTGATCCCATTTAAAAAACTATGAACTGTACAGATCTGAATGCAGCATTTTTACACCCATGTGCATGAGCCCTAAGGAATTGTGCACTTATGTGGTAACCTTAGCCAGTGGTAACCTTAGCTAGTGGTAACCTTAGCTAGCGTATGAATCTTGGCTTTAATTACTTGCAAGGTTCTGACTTTGGGATAACATTAGAATGAGTAGATAGAGTAATAAGCTTTGGAGCAATGCTCTGCATTCATTATTGTGAATGCTGCACAAGAGCAAAAACAGAAAAAAAATATACAAAACCAGTGCATAACCCAGTAATAATATACATTTGTAATTAGAGATGCTCCGGTGCTGAGCATTTGGGGGAGTACTCGTACTCCCCCAAATGCTCTAAAACTTGAATGCTCTAAAACTTGACTTGATACCCTGATACCGGAACTGCTGGTCAGGGGGAGATTCCCTCTGACCAGCAGTGCCAAGAGAGAGCATAGAGCCAGCTTTCCAGCCTATCAGGAAGCCGGGTGGCGGGTCATGACCCATCTTCCTGATTGGCTGGGAAGCCAGCTACAAGCTGCTTAGCGACACTGCGGGGTAGCCTGGCTTCCTGACCAATCCGGAAGCTGGGTGGCAGGTCATGACCCGCTGCCCAGCTTTCTAATTGGTCAGGAAGCCAGGCTGCCCCGTAGTGTCGTAACGGCGCGTGAAGCCGGCTCCACAGGCAATCAGGAAGCCGGGTGCAGGCTACCTCGGGATGCCGGTATCAGTACTCAGTATCGGCGAGTACCGATAAAAAAATATCAGTGCTCGTACTCGATACCTAAAAAATGGTGCATCCCTACTTGTGATACATAATATAGTAGACAGATTAAAAAATGTTTGAATAATGCTCTGCATTCATAATTGTGAATGCTATATACACATAAGAGGAAAAACAGAAAACATATACACAACCAGTACATAATCTAGTAACATTATACATTTGTAATACATAATATAGTAGCAGTAGTATGCATTTGAAAAACGCCATCTGGAATGTGCATTTTTGTAATCAGACACTTTGATCACCTCCGTCTTCAGAACATTATGTTTTTATCACCTTTGTTACAGGAAATTGCAGCAATGGTTCTTACAGAACTCTCATAATTCCTGTCAAGAAATGCTTCATTATCATCAGCCTCATTGTACATCAGTTATCCCCAATGGACACTAGTAATCACATTCATTCTCATCTCCCATGATCTGAGATAGTAATGTTATTGCTTATTGTGTGTTTAGAAGCACAGAGCCTCAGCGGATGTATGGATCAGTACCCAGGTAAAAGAATTTTCTTTTTTTTTTTGTCTTTTTTTTTTTTTTATAGTGTTACAGAACTATAAAATGTCAACCTGAATAAAAAAGTGAGATTCATATTAGCAGCTAATGAATTGTACACACGTGGCCTGAATCCTGATGTACTGTAAAATTCTACAGAATAGAATCCTGCTGAAAATAAGAGCTTTAAACTAAAACCCAGTGACAGCTTTAGCAGCTATAAGGAGCAACTTATTAAAGTAGAATTGTTACGCTGTCTCTGTGAAATGGTGTTTGCTTCAAACGTTCATTCAAGTGCAGTTTCCTTCTTGGTTTTCCTTGACTGAATCCAGCATCTGATTTTAGGTGTTTGAAATCAAAGCCTATCTAAACCCAAAAGCAAAAATGTGATATGTTGTAATTTACCAATGTGGTGGCTGCATTCATTTTCTTTTTTAGGCTTTCTTTCCTTTATTTTCCCCTGGTCATCCGGCCAATAAATCTGTTATTTTTCAACTTCCTTGACCAGACCAACCTGTCCAGTGAAAGTGATAATTGAAGGGTTGAGACAAACCATTTAACACTGACAGGGGTGCTTAGAATGGTTCGTTTTTATTCATTAATATAAAACCTTTATCCCAAAAGGAAAAAAAAACCTTTTGCTGTAACTGCTTAAAAATTGTTATCTGGAGATTGGATTTAATTTGTTAGTAAAGTCCATCTAAAGTAGGGTAGTTCCTAATGAACTGGCCGAAATTTGCGCAGTGGGTGCTGGTGTTGGCACCCTCCCAACTGGTATCCCTCGATCAGCAGATTGAAGGAGCAGGTTGGAAAATTCTTAGTCAAACTGAGCTGGCAGCCAATCAGCTGGTGACCGCTGTCAGAATACAATGCAAACAGCAGAGGATTCCTCTCGATCCAGGTTCGTAAGTGCTGATGGAGGAAACTGTTATATTTTCTTTGTTCAGCCTGCAGGTTGAACAAAGAAAATATATGCATGTATACCCAGTTTAACACTACCATCTCCACAGGGTGACAATGCTGCTGTCCAAGGGTGGCTCAGTTGCTCCTCCATAGAGTAGAGCCATCCTAAGACAGGAAATGTGTTACTGGCTGGATCACCAGGTGAAAATAAAGGAAAAATAAAAAGTATGCGACCACCTTATCTAAGGCCTGGTACCTGCAATATATTACATTTTAGTTTTTGGGTTTAGATTTACTTGAACGACAGTTCTCCGCACAACACAAAAACACTTCTTTAGTAAATCACTACAAAAATGTGAGGTCAGATAAGAGATTTGTCTGCCAGTAATGTGCTGTGAAACCCAATACTGTGGCGTACTACTTTCATCGTAAGCTTAGGCTGGCAGTCAACATGCTCTGCCCTGCCAAAAAGGAAATTCCACAAAATGCTCCTCTCCACTTTGGGAGAAAAACATGAATTTTGGTGACATTAGTTTGGCCAAAAAAATGTAGGGTTTTTTGGATGATAGCACATATCATGACTCTACTTTTGCCCTGCAGGCCGTTCCTGTGTTCTCCAATGACAACATCTTCCTCTTGGTGCCAGTAAAACAGGGTGGACAAGGGGAATATATGCATGTGGCTATGTTATCCATGCAGGTAACTAACATTTGCACTGTCTCATTGTAAAACTGTAATTATTATAGCTTCTATTATCAAAGAGAAGAAAATATTTCTGTATACACAGCACTATGGCCGAGATAAAATGTTTGCAAAATACAATTAAATGAAAGACCCTCCTTAATGGTATATTTAACGTATAGTCCTAAACATTTGATGGCATGCAATCCAGATTACCTCTCATGTGCAGTACCATGCTTTTGGTTTTCGTGGTCACAACCACCTTTAGATTTTCTATTTTCTCAAGTAATAAATATAACACAGTGGGAGGAATTTATTAAAACTGGAGCAGACAGAATCTGGAGCAGTTGCCCACAGTGATAAATCTGCTTCTTTATTCAGCTTGCACAGTTTTAGGCTGGGTTCCCACCTGTGCGTTTTTCAGCGCTGATGGAAGCGCTGAAAAACGCTCAGCAAGTGAAATCCCATAATTTCCTATGGGCATGGTTCCCATCTGGGCATGGTTCCCACGTAGGGCAAAAACGCCCTACGCCCAAACAAGTACAGGAGCTTCTTTGGGGTGTATTTCAGCGCGTATCCATTGTTATTCCCGAGTGTGGCTCCGGGTTCCGTCCCTTGCGAGCGTCTGTGTCGCAGGGGGGCGGAACCGGCGGGAAGTTTGAAAGTTTTTTTTTAAAAAGATAGAGAAAATAAAGGGGGGAAAAAAAATCATACCGCCAGGGAGGTATAAAAACGAGCGTCGAACGCGCGTTTCATTGAACGGAAAAAAACGTGCTAAAAGACGTGCTAAAAACGAGCATAAAAAACGCACCTATAGTACGCCCAGGTGTGAACCCAGCCTTATGCTTTGAAAATGATTCAAAGATTATACCAGTGTCTGCCAGTCAGCAAAGTGATGACTCGACACCCACCCAACAGGTAAGTGTTAAAGTGTATCTAAACCCGAAAAGAAAATGTAATATACTGCAGCTTACCAGTCCTTAGATGTAGTGGCTGCCTTCATTTGCAGGCTTTTTTTTTTTAACTTGTCACCTGGTAATGCTGTAAACAACACACCTCCTGTGTCTTTATGTCTTTACTCATTTCTCCACTGTATCTTGGCACACAGGCTGGACTTCAAACATGTCTGCCTTTGTTCATCTTCATTACATGGTGGGTGGATTGATGGCACATGTAGTTTACACAGTAAAGATAAGTTTCACTGTGCATTATTTTAGGCTTACAGGAAGTGACAAGGACACTACATTTCTGGCAGGATTAAACAGGTATTGGCTGTACTTTCTGAAGATGTTCTTAGCCTGAAAAGTGCATATACTAATGCAGCCACCACATGCAAGGACTGGTAAGCTATAATAGAGTTATATATTAGTATATGGTAATAAATAAAAATTTTGGGTTTAGAGTTGAATTATTTACATATTGAAGATACACTTGAAGAGTCTTTTGCATGCCGCTTTTGTATAATTATTTTTGTAGTCAGCAGATTTGCTTTAAAATGGAACCCCCCACTCAACAATTAGGTCCTACTGCTGCTCATGCAGCACCCCCTGCAGTACACCTTGACCCCTAATATCTTTGTAGCAATGCTTGGAGAAATCAGGGAATGGGTTAGTAACTGTTCAGTAAGGGTATTGTGTTACAATACTTAGGCTCCATTCACACAGGAGCGGTTGTCTGTATGGTTGAATACGTGCGGAGCCGCTCTACACATAAAAAACAATGCACCACAATGTGCATTGTTCAGACTTTTGCGTGCGGAATCCGTCAAAGAATCGCGCTTGGACTTTTTTGCGGGCCACGCGGTTTTATACCGCACGGCCTGCAAAATAGTCCAATCATGATTCGTTGACGGATTCTGCACATTAGCGGCTATAGTATTAGCCACAAACAGGCAGAATCCGTGCAGATGAAAGATTTTAGCGTTTCCATGCCACGTGGGCCCGTGCGGGGAAACACAAACGCTAAATGTGAATGGAGCCTTGGAACATGGAGATAAGATGAACACCAGTGGGCCAGAGCTCTGCAGAAATGATCTAGCTAAGAAAGCATATTCAGGGGTCTATTCACTAAGCTGCCGAAGGATCTAGCCGTTGCTTCGGCTGATCTTTTGGCTAGCTTCGGCCCCAGGACCCCTTCAGTTCAGTAGAACCGAAGGGCTGCTGTACGCGCTATTCACTATAGCCCGTACAGCTCCCGAAGTAGGCCGAGCGGCTCATAGGTCGAGAATAGGCCGAACAGCAGCAAGTAGCCTGCCGGAGGTTCGGCTCAGCCGATCCAGATGTCGAACTCCTTCTGCACTTCGGGTCGGCCAAACATGCTGAGCATGTTTGGCCGACCTGAAGCCAGCCGCAGCAAGCCGCAGCAAGCCGATGTACGGCTGATTTCAGTCGGTGTATGGCTGAAATCAGCCGTACAAGCCTGAAGTGAATAGCCGAACAGCGTTCGGCTCACTTCACTTCGGGTTGGTTATTCACACGGCTGTCTGCGGCAGCTTTGTGAATAGACCCCTCAGTGTTTTGACTTGCAGGATACCCCCCGGTGTTATTTGACCATTATCTTTCCTCTAAAGCTGACCATTCTTGACTGAATAAATATGCAGGTTGAAGGATAATAATGGTACACAGTGTGCTCAAGCCCTTTTTTCCTGACCTCACCATCTTAAATGCTGCGTGCTTTTCTTTTTCAACAAATCTTGCTATGTCTTACTTATAATATAGTACTGCAGTTCCAGCATAAGCAGAAAATGTTTCCTTTGAAATAGACATTATTATAAAGCTTGCATTAACAATGTATAACTGTCTAATATATGTATTATAGACCCAGCAGCTTGGTAGTAAGGACAGTTCACTGCGTATGCTGACATCTGGTGACTGGGATGTTACAAGGATTGTGGCATACAATGAAGACAATGAAACAGTGTGAGTAATTGCTATCCACTGTAAAGATGGGTTTCCCGGGAAAAATATGGGACAACAATTTCTGTAGGAGGTTCAAGAACAAACTTACAAATGGAAAACAGAAATTTTGAAAATAATCAAATTATCATTATTTATTGGCTAATACAAACATTGCAGTTAAAATGATTGTTATTTAAGGGGTATCTACAGCCAAATGTCTTCTGCATTTTAGATAAAGTAAGCAGGAGGATCAGAGCCTCTGCTAGGTTTTTGTTTTTTTTGCTTTCTCCCTCTGCTGGGGAGATTTATGCTTTTTTTTTTTTCAAGTGACAGTTGTCACTGGGACCTAAAGGGTCTGTGAATGAACGTTAAATAAATCATACGTGCATCCATTTTTGTAAAAATAGTACTTGCTTCGGGAATTTCCCACCCGCAGGTTGAACACAGGTTGACATAAGCAAAGGGGTGAGATGCAGTGACACCATTGGCCTTTTATGGCTACATGCCTATATTTGGTAAATAACAATTACCTAATATGGCTATATGACCATATAGGTAAATGAGGTCAGCACAAGCATCCCACCCCTTTGTTTACATGCAGCTATAGTGTAAGGAATGCCTGGCCCACAGCTGATTGAGTGGAAGCACTCATGGCACTTCCTTGTTCGAGGAGTTCAGGTTTCAGACTGAGTTTGGTTCAAGCCTGAGCTCATCCCTACACACAATCTCTTACTCTGCTCAATCCAACTGCCCCAACTCTTAACTCATGGAGTTTTGCAAGATGAATGGCTCTGCAAATTGTTTCTAAGTTCACCGCATATTGCTATTAATATTAATTAACATTTTGCTGCTTATATGTGTGAGTAATATTAAAAATGTGTTAAATTTGCCTCTCAACATATAGATACAGGGGGGAATTTATCAAAGCAATTGTGACAGTTTTAGCCTCTTAGATCATTTTTTTTAATGTGCAAATTTGTCTTTTAACATGTGTGCCTGTTTTCACCTGAGCTTGCACTACGTTTCCAACTGCATGTGTTTTGCACCTGTTTTGCAACTGTTTTCATCTGCACTTGTTCTGGGGCTGTCTGAAACTGAATCATCACCTATCAAAACAATCACAACTTAAGAAGTCCCCATGACCACTTCTTCAAGAAGCGACAGTTAAGCTTTTTGCCTGAAGTTACAAGTCTTATTTCCTGCAGTCTATTAAACCTCATTTATGAACAACATTACACTAGCATCATAAATCTGGTTCAAATAAATTCCGTGCAAGTTCAAACACTCGCAATTGCTATTATAAATTCCCCCCACAGTCTATTACTCAGTCATTAGATTGATCATTTTCATAATGTCTGCATTCTCCTTGGAAGCAGTCACACTTTTCATAGCTGTCACTATACCGACCCTATGTGACAGATCATCCCTCATCTCCTTATCCACTGACAACTGTCTGTCCTGCTGAAAGCTGCTGAAAGCCTGATCTCTCCTGGTTCACAAATGATCTACCCTACTCGATCTATAGTGCTCATTCAATACAGGATGTAGGTTATAATAAAAATGTGTCCTTTCTCGATGTATAAAACCTGTATCTTATATTCAGTTTTGGTCAAAAACATTCAGTGTAAAAAATAAGGAGGTGCAGAGGAAATTACCGGTACTCTGCCTGCGCCTTTTTTGGGGTTCTCTTTCCATTTGCCTCCTTTTTAAAAAAAATCAAAAGTTTTTTTTGTTTTTCAGTACAATAGACTTAAGTATATGTCATCAATGCAAAAATATACCAAACAGAATGATAGTTGCGAACAGACAGAGATAACAGCATGAAATCAACTACAGCACAGTTGCAGGCATGTTGTTTAAGTGGCAGTGCGCTTAATGTGTGGCCCCCCTAGACACAAAAAGTCCAGGCCGCAAAGCAGGCCACATGAAAGTGCAAAGGTTACAGTAAAGCAACATGACTCCATTTGCCACCTTTATTGACACATGTCTGTAATGTTAGTTTTATATTTATATTACCTACTAAAATTTTACTTTTTGTATATTTCCAGTTATTTTCTGAGCACTGAAGACATGCCCAGGAGAAGACACTTGTACAGGTATGAAGCAATCGTTTTCTTTTAACTCACTTGTGTATGGAAGCCGGGTGATGGCTGAAAAGAATGATAACAGATTACGGCTGCTGCAGCAGCTGTAATCTTGGTTTCAACCACTGTAGTGCATAACATTTATTTATGTAGATCGGTACTAAAGTGGTTAAAGTGTATATCGAGCCAAACATGCTTTTTAAGCATTGGATGGTGTGGAGAAAGATCAGAACTCTTGGGCTTTTACTGCTCTCCATTAGAAAAAGTTCCTCTTAGGGGGTCATTGTAGACCACAAACTGAATGGTAGCTTGCAGTGCCAGGCTGCTGTAAACAAAGCTAGCAGGGTCTTGTCCTGTATTAAAAAGGGGATGTATTGCAGGGACAAGTCTATAATTTTGCCACTTTATAGATCATTGGTTCGACCTCATCTGGAGTACGCGGTCCAGTTCTGGTCACCAGTACTAAGAAAAGATGTCCTTGAGTTGGAAAAAGTCCAGCGGAGGGCAACCAAACTAATTAGGGGTATGGAGGACCAGAGCTACGAGACAAGGCTACTAAATTTAAACATGTTCACATTGGAGGTGAGGAGATTAAGGGGGGATATGATCTCCATGTACAAAATGTTCAATGGTGGTAGCAACATTAGTGATAAACTGTTTAAAATTAACTCCATTACAAAAACTAGAGGCCACCACCTAAAATTGGTGGAAAAAAAATTCCAGCACAAGGGGCAAAGGGGGTTCTTCACAGTAAGATCAGTTAGGGTCTGGAACTCACTGCCACAGGCGGTGATTTCAGCAAATAATGTGGAATTGTTCAAGAAACTTTTGGACGATTTCTTAAGGGACCGTAATATACAGGGGTACAGGTACTCCTAGAATGAGATCCTAATAGGTTGGACTTGATGGACTAATGTCTTTATTCAACCTCAAATACTATGTAACTATGTAACTATGTAACTACTTCCTGTCATGCTGACAACAGTTTCACCAGACAGGAATTAAAGGAAAATCTACAACAGGGACACAGATAGTGATACAAATCTTGCAGGGGGTCTATCCTCCCCCTATTCTACTAAGAAAAGCAATTATATTTCTCTCTGTGATGCTGTTAGAGAGTTTCCCTCATGTCCTGTCTAGTGAACCATTGTCAGCAGAACAGGAAGTGAGTAGGAAATCTCTCTAATGCTGCCCCAGATAGCAGTAAAAACCAATGAGGAGCTGAATATACACTTCAAAGTGAGATGGTCAGCCTTTTTCAACTATTAATACTAAAAGACCTGCCAAAGTGAAGGTACCACAACCTGTCTGTTGACTGTATTGAAATACTGTAAGTTAAAAGTATGGGTAAACTACAGTAGCTTAATCCAAGTATACTTTTTAACCATTCTGAACTCTCGCACATGTATACAATGTTTCCATTACCGTTTCAGTTTTCATTCCATTTCCATATGGCCTCAGCAATAACTGTTTTTTATTAAAAGAATTCATTAAATTATTTTAAAAAATCATTATTTATAAAAATCAAAGTACATATATAATTTATTTAGGAATTGAGGCTTTCAGTGATAGATAGTGATGTACTTACTGTATGTTACTCTGATACAAGTAATAATTATATGTTTCAATTTGTTTATAAAAATAAATTACATTTTGGTAAAAAGCATGGTAAAGTTATTTGCAAATGAAATAAAGACAATTTTAAAAACAGTGTGTGCATTTTTGATTGTGATGCCCAGATAATGAACAAACCAAACAAAAAAAGAAATAGGTAAAGGGTAGAATTCGGGTTTACTAAGGGTTAATAAGCAGTTAAAAAGGAAATTACTTATTAAAAAATAGTAATAATATTGTCGCAACACTCTATATTTATAAATGAAGAATATAACATCTGTTACACCGTTCATTCAAGCAGGAGCTGCCATCAGCCCTTATGCAGAGCCGAGCAGGACCCTGTATGTTTTGGTTCAGTTTTTACACTAATAGGCCACATCTAGGTGAAAAGATCCACAGATTAGATGGTGGGAAGTTTTATTATACTCTAGATGCTCAGGTCCAGATTTCTGAGACATCAACCTAGACCGGGGATTTGGGTGGCAGCATTTTAAAAAGGAGTTTTGTCATTTTTTTATCACTTCTTCATTATGAGGCTTAATGTGACACCAAACTTCTGAGTTAAATCTTAATGCATTCATTCCTTCTGGAGTGTGGATACTTTTGTTCCCCATGGTCCCTGTGTGTGTTGTAAAGTATCCACCACTCCAAGCTCGCTCCTTTGATGGACTACAATCTCAATACAAGTTAGTAAACTAAATGTGAGCTTGTAGTCCATCATGGGAGTGAGCTTGGAGTGGTGATTATATTACAACACACACAGGGACCATGGGGAACAAACGTAGCCTCCTCCTCCAGAAGGAAGGACAATGTCAGCACCAATTCAGAGATGATTTGAGGATCTACAGCTGAGTGATACACAAATAAGATACATTTTTGTTAATAGTTAAGGTACTTGAAGACTAACTCCTGAGTTTAGTGTCACTTTAGTAGAGAAAAATATCAGCAAGTTAGAATGTCATCATATGTAGCATACTTTTTCATATTATCTGAAGTATACAAATCAGTGCAGAACCAACCTTTGATAATAGAGGCATAATAAATGAGGCCTGGGGCATACATAATGAAAGCCAGCCCTGGGAATGCATATGGAAATATACAGATTAGCACATACACGTTTCCTTTCCAAGTGCTTATTCTTTCTGCATAGTAAATAAGATCTCATACATATCAGTTTTATCTTTTTCAAGTAAGATGTTTCAAAAGGCCTCATACAGCAAAACTAAGTAATGGAGTCTGACTCCACACAAAGTAAAAGAAACCAGTTCTGACATAATTTTAATAATTCTTTCTACATATAGTGTGGAGACTTCAGGAGTACTAAACCGAACTTGTGTGACCTGTGACCTCATTCCAGACTGCCATTTTGTGGATGTGGAGTTCAGCCCTAGAGGCAGCTACTTCATCTTGTTCTGCAAAGGTAAACACAATGAAATGGATGGGAAAGGGGCTAAATTAGAAATGCTACACTGCTATGATGCAAACTGGACTGGGTTAGTATAAGGACTTGAACACAAGAATTTAGCTAGAGGGTTGCACATAGGACTGTGGCACCAGATTTTGGCAACCATCTATTCTACTGTAACTGAAGGACTGCTATAATGGTCTTGGTAATAAATCTTAATGCTAATAGGAATGTTTACATGTTTAAAATGGGTCTATTATGTCCTGTCTTTATTAATACTTAATTCATTAATAATCATTAATTAATTAATACTTCTTTTCTAACAAGACAGCTCTGCTGCAGCTGCTCAATTGTGGCTGTCTATTTTTCAGATTCTTTCCCAGTGGTTGTCAATTTAAGAGGTATAGGGCGCCCTTAACTGCAATGCCTGACATTATCAAAGGGTCACAAATAATGCTCAGTATATGTAATACTAGAGAGGAATATCAGAAACTACAGGCATACTAGAGTAAATTATGATTAGATACTTTGGACATTGTACATGCTTGATTGTAAACTGGTGCAGAAGACAGTGAGAACCTAGGGATGTGTTACAGGAGGCTAGTAGAGATCCTGCTATTACCTGTTTCCAATCCAATGATCCACTCCAGTACTAACTGCTGGTGTCCAAGGGCCGTACATGTTGCATGAGGTTAGTAGAAATTCTGCTATTTCCTCTTTGCAAACCAATGATCCCACCCCAGTGCTAGCTGGGGTCCAATGGCAGCACAATGGAAAACAAAGGACCCAGTTTGTAGGTTGGGCACCAAGACCTATGAACAGGAG